TCCAACTTTTTCCACCATTTTGTTTCCCAATATTATATAATTCATATTTTCTCTTATTTCCTTCAAACTCCAATAAGGAGCCGAGGTTTTTTCTATCCTTTTTTATATCTCTCATTACTCATACTTATCACGTGACCATTCCCGTATATATAAGAGCAAAAAAATAGAAAATATTATATGCCTTTTACTTTTACTGTAGTTTCACCTAAGAAGATCATCAGGTAGGCAAAAAATAAAATTACTTATATCCCATTGCAGGATTTTTTTAAAAACATATCCTGAAGTACACTAAATTTGCATATACCCATTTTTAAATAGTTGTTTAATGAGTTGCTACGCGAGCAAGTAGATATTTTTTAAAAGTCACCACGCGGTCAGGATCCCCCCCTTTTTTTTTTAGCAGGCTTTGTTCAACGAGGGAAAGTAGCTATTACCCAGACCCCTGACACAGTTTGTAAAACGGGGCTCTCATTCGGTAGCGACTTGATCTTTTTTTACTATCTAACTTATAATAATAATTTTGTGGATAAAGATATTTTTCTTTTGCTTGATTTTCAGCATTAAGCACTGAACTTGTTCGTCGTCTCATATCGAAATAGAAAGCTAGCGAATATTACAAATGTCTCTTCTTAATAATCCAGCAATGTCAGCGTTTCACGTGTCAGTAAAGAATAAGGCGTTACTGATTAGAAATTAATGACCACAAGACCGACCAAGCGCGATACATGTTAATTAGGGCACAGGAAAGAAAGTTTACTCAAAACACACACACACATGTAAAATTGTCAGACAGATTCATTTGTTTTTCGCACTGTTATTTGAATTAACATTCAAAATATTTTTAACATAGCTTTTTATTGTTTTTGTACCTTTAATCTTCCTCATCAAATTTTTTTTCTATCGACTTGCTATTCACTGATTTGTAAAGTTGTTGATGAATAACAGGGCTAAAATAAATATAAAAAACGAATTAATTTATCTAATTACTCAATATATATATATATATATATATATATATATATATATATATATATATATATATATATATATATATATATATATAAGATAATCCTAAGGAGCCAGACAAACCATCATTACCCTGACGGTCCTTTTAGATGAAACCTCGATAGGTTTGCCTGGCTCCTTAGGATTATCTTAGGTTTTGCTCAACTTAGTGTATTGAGCACTTCACGCAGTGGTCTTTTTAATCTTCTTGGTTTTTTTTTCTTTGGGCTTGGAGTTTGAACACTGGACGATTGTTTCCGCCTTGGTTTAATGTTCTTGGTACTTTCTTTTTTTATTCCTCATTTTTCCTCGGGTACCGATTTGTTCTACTGCCAGTCGAGCTCTCCGAGGTCTTTCCAAGCGAGTACCACCATATATATATATATATATATATATATATATATATATATATATATATATATATATATATATATATATATATATATGCACATTTCATTGAATAAGACAGACAAGGTGCTTTGATTTAGTTTTTTGTATGTGTATTTTATAAAATGTTTTCATTTTGGAAAACACTGTCAAGATACATACCCCAAACTATTTCTGATTCAACAGTTAAAATATTTAATCCTTGAAAATGGCTAAATGTATATCCGAAAGCGCTCGGATAAAAAGAACATTCGGACAGTTTTTATATAATTTATCATCCGAGAAGAAAAATTATTAGATCGCATGAGAAATTGTATAAAAAACTAAATGAAAGCACCTTGTCTGTCGTTTTCAATGAAATGTGCATGAAAGAAGGTCGTCTTGGGTATGACAATAAACTATGTCCAGCAGCAAGTCCTCCAATCAGTTTTGAGGAGCGTGGAACCACCGTTTAATTGCTGGTATTCCAAGGTCCACACTGACCCGGGGTGGTAGCACCCGTTAGGGTCCCGGCTATGGGCAAATAGTTAACACTCAGATTACATTCGCGTCCTGGGTCTGACGATAAACTACATCTGCATCCTGGGTAAGACGATAAATTACGTTCAACAGCAAGGCCTCTGATAATACGCTTTTGAAAAAATAATATTACCAGCTATACATTTTTGAGAAAAAAATTATTAACAGAAAAGGATTTTTGATAAAACAAAAATATTAACAGGAAAAAAAAAGTTGTCGGCTTTAAATGAACATTGAGGTTGATATGCCGTAAAAAAAAACAAACCAAACCAAACCATGAAAGATGGATTACTGTCTAAATACACAAATATATATATATATATATATATATATATATATATATATATATATATATTCTTTGAAAATAACGAGTGAACACTGAGATCAACACTGAATGGCGACAGTCTGTTTCATGCCTGAAAGTAATATTCATACGATCATTCTATTATTATAACTATATACGTTCTATCTCTAATATTGAGAACATTTACCCATAAATATAGCATACTTTATATATATATATATATATATATATATATATATATATATATATATATATATATGTGTGTGTGTGTGTGTGTGTGTGTTT